TTCACACAGCTCTTGCTGCTCTTCCTGGTGCAGCAGCCCCTCAGGACAGTTTGCTCTCAGAATTCAAACAAAACTCATGAAGAGTGCCTGAAAAATGTGTCGTGTCTTTGGTGCAACACCAACAAGGCATGTCTGGACTACCCAGTCAGAAAAATCTTGCCACCTAGTTCTCTTTGTAAGCTGAGTCCTGCACGTTAGGGTGTTTGTTGGGTGAACTTCGAGGCATTGAACACTGCAATGTCAGTGGTGGGAGGCACCATTATCCCTGGGGTTTCGATTTGTTGTTGTTGCTGCTGCTGCTGCTTGAGGAAGAAGAGCCACAAGCCAGACAAGAGTGAGAAGGCCATGCGGGGGTGCAGGATCCACCAGGAGGAAAGGAGGGTAGAGATGAAGTCAAGATGAGATCAGGAAAAAATACAGTTTAAAGAACACCCATATGCCAGGTTTGAAAACAACTGACCAACCCGGACTCACCCACAGTCCCAGTGCTTCTCGGTGAGATGGGGCCATGTCCATGCAGCTCACCTGCAGGACCATCCTCTGCATCCTTCTCAGTCCTACCCAGTGAGGTGGGAGCCACATATACTCCCCCAAATGACAAAATTGGCTTGTCCCTGCAGCCTGGGAGCTCGCTCCCTCTTATTTCTGTCTAGACACTTGAGACATTAGACCACTGTTCTTTCTGAGGAGGATATTTGCACATTTCACTCTTGAATTTATAAACATATTTCAACTGAGCTGTCTATAGAATTTTCACTTTACTCACGAACAAGCTTCATAGAGTATGGATGAAAGTACTTTTTTACTTCAGTTATGAAGAGAACTGCACAGTTCCCCACCATTTCTCTCAGCATCAATCTGTCAGCATTACTGTCTGTTTACATTCCACACACACATTCATTCCAGTCGGTTTCTGTTAAAGTACAGGATCTCAGCACAGTTAATTTTGACTGTGCTAAATAGCATCAAGGAATGGTTAAAATAACTTTTTTTTTCTTGGAACTTTCCCCCTACCTAATAGATTTCATAAATGCAAAAGGTCAGATTTTGTAAAAAAAAAAAATTTTATTCTCTTACTAAGTAGTGTTCTATTGCATGCACTTACTGTATTTTGCTTATCTGTTCATCTGCTGCTGGATATTTAGCTGGGGTTGCTTTGATTTTTTTTGCCTTTGACTATGGGAATAGTCTCATAGCCACTCATAGTGACCCTATGTACAACAGCCCTAGGGTCGCTATGAGTTGCAAGGGACTTGATGGCACATAACAACATGTGAATAGTCTCACAATGAACACCAGTGTACAAATGTCTTTTTGACTCTCGGCTTTCGAGTCTTTTAGGTATATGCTATCAGGGAGCTGGTGGGTCGTCTGATAGTTAAAACACCACCACTCACTGCCACTGAGCTGATACCAACTCAAAGAAGAGAACCTCGAGTGGGTTTCCGAAGCGGTAAATCTTAGCAGGAGATGAATGCTCACTTTCCTCCTGTGGAGAATCCTGAGGATTCAAACTGCAGACTTTTTGGTTAGTAGCTGACAGGCTATGCACCATGCCACCAGGGCAGGAAACATCAAAATAAGATGGAAGGAATAGAGTCACTGTACCAAAAAGAACTGATTGAAGCTTAATCATTTTACTTGAGAGTATATGATCAAGAACCAGTGGTAATTAAGGAAGAAGTCCAAGCTGCCCTGAAGGGACTGATAAAAATAAGTTTCTAGGAATCAATGGAATACCAGTTGAAGCTCTTTCAACAAAGAGATGCACCCTGGATATGCTTGCTGACCTATGTATGCAAAGAAATCTGGAAGACAATGACCTGGCCAACCTACTGGAGCAGATTCATATTTGTGTCCATTAAAAAAAGTGATCGAACAGAAAGCAGATATTCTCAAATAATACTATTGTTGTTTGTTGTTGATTGTTGTCAAGTTGAGCACAAATCATAGCTACGTTATGAACAAAAGGCCCGAAGCCTTTCTATAACTCGTCCTTTATCAGAGTTTGTAGTGTTTCCAGAGGCATGTTGTTTAGGAAGTGGATGCCACTCCTGCTTGTAAACCTGTCTTAAACTGGGAGCTCCAGCAAACACTGTCCACCATGGATGGGTAACTGTTACGGCATACTACTATTGTTGTTATGTGCCGTCAAGTAGTTTACGACTCATAGCGACCCTATGTTATTATTAGTATCACATAATTAAAATCTTGCTGAAGATAATTAAGAATGGATAGAGTAGTGCATCAAAGAAGAAATGTGAGAAATTAAAACTAGATTTAGAAGAGGCTGTGGAATGAGAGTTGTAACATTGCTGATGTCAGATGGATCTTGGCAGAAAGCAGCGAATACTAGGAAGATGTTTACTTTCTAGAAACAGTTTTACTGACTATACAAGGACATTTGACAGGTGCAGATCATAGTAAATCATAGGTAACATTGTGAAGAGCACACTTAATTGTGTTCATGCCAAACCTGCACATACATCAAGAAGCAGTTGTTCAAACACAACGGGGATGGATACTGAGTAGTTTAAAATCAGGAAAGGTGTTCCATCAAGGTTGTGGTCTTTTATTATACCTATTCAATTTGTATCCTGAACAAATAATTTCATTTTATTTGATCGACAATCAACACCCTTGGGAGCAGCAGTCAGGAAATCAAATGCCCTGTTGCTTTGGGAAAATTTTCAGTTAAAATCTCTTTCAAGTGCTAAAGACAGTTTAAAAACTAAGGTGTGCCCAACCCAAGCTGTGGCATTTTCAGTTGCTATATATGCATGTGAAAGTTGGACAATGAATAAAGAAGATGCCTTTGAATTGTGCTGTTAGGAAAGGGTAATCCTGTGGACTACGGACTATGAACAAACAAATCTGACTCGGGAGAAGTGTGGTCAGAGTGCTCATCAGAGACAAGGATGGTGACACTCTGTCTCACACACTTTGGGCATGCAATCAGGAGCTAGTCCCTGGAGAAGGGAATCATGTTTGGAAAAGTAGACTGTCATCGAAGGAGAGAAGGATCCTCAATGAGATAGATGGACACAGTGGCACATTGTGCACAGGCGACTGTGAGGATGGCACAAGATCAAGCAAGGTTTCATTTTTTTGCACACAGGGTCGCTGACTTGGAATCAACTCAACAGTACCTAACAACAATACTCTGGCTAGGTTGTTAAATACAATATTGAAAAGAAATGCTGAGAGAATAGGTACCCTAGTCTTGTTACTGCCTTCAAGTCTCAGTCTTTCTCCACTAAGTATGTTGGCTATTAATTTTCATACATGCTCAAGTTAATACTGAGGAATTTCTCTTCTAATCTGCTTTAGGGTTGTCATCAAGAAATGGTACTGAACTTTAGCAAGTGATTTTTCAGTATCTCTAGAGGTGACAATTTTTTCCATTACTTTGTGGTATGTTGAGTGATTTTCTAATGGTGAATCACCCCTGCATTGCTGGAATCCCACTTGATCATTATACATGACTGTTAAATGTTGTTGAATTCTTTCAGTACTTTTTTGAGAATTTTTGCATCTCTATTCATAAGAGAGGTTGGCCTGTTGTTTTCCTTTCATCTTTAGCTTTAGTTTGGGGAACAAGGTTATGTTTGCTTCATAAAAAGGATTTTTCTTTCTTCACAGAAGGGATATTCCTTCTTTCTTTAGTTTTTGTTAAGAGTTTAAACAGTATTGATATCAGTTCTTTAAATGTTTTGTGAATTCTTCAGTGAAGCCAGTACTTTTTTTGTTGGACAGAACTGCTCCTTTGACGAAACGTCACACAATGGAATACTACGCTGCATTGAAAAACAAGGAACTCATGCAATATTATTCAAAATGGGTGACCCTGGAGGACATTATGCTAAGTGAAATATCTCAGTCACAAAAGGCCTAATACTGCGTAGTGCCACTGTTGTAAAATGGGACTGACATCGGGGTTGGGGGAAACTGAAAGATGGGATAAATTATGTATAGAGCATTGAAACAGATGAGGGAGAGAACTGTTTAAAGAGATACGTGATTAGGTATTACTGTCATGACAGGAGTACAGAACGAAGGCTGCATAGAGGAGTGGACTTGAGGAGAGGGAGTGTATAATAATGAAAAACTTTTTCTTTTACTTTTCAAAGAGAAGAGTGAACTGGGGGGGAATGTTTGGGCAAGGAGAAAAGTGCAACAATGAATGAATGAATGGAAATACAATGTCTCTGTAAATTTTGATTAAAATTAGTAATAATAATTTTAAAAAACTGAGAAGGAGCAATAATTTAATGTTTAGCACATGCCAGGCACATATAACTTTAGATGTGTTATTAGTCTGGAGTTGGCAAAAGTGGCTTCTTCCATAACTTTTGCTATAACTACTTGGGCCAATCCACCTTCTAGCTGTGAATTTGGGCTTTCTCCCCCCACTCTCTATGGTCATCTTCTACATTTCCCCCATATTGTGGGAATATTGTGTGTATTTTAATACCACAGCACAACAAAATAAAGGACAGATATTGCTTTTAAAAATGGAACGAAATGCTTAACAAAAGGTTTCTAATTGCTAGCAATGTTCAATCACATGGTTAGCTAACTTCTTGGTGGGAATTGATGCCTCTGACAGATGATTAACCTGAGAGATGATTAAGGTTGTTTCCACTGAGGAGACGTGAAAGGAGAATAAGTGATGGATCTAAGATATATACTTTTGAAAAACATATCAAAACTCTTTCCAGTGTATTCTGGGTGGTAGAAATAGGGAGAGAGCTTCAATACTTTTTACCAGTTGCCACTTTTATTTTTTTTTTTCCTATCTCCCAGCTCTCTTAGAGAAGCCTCTTCTAGGGGAGCTCTGGTGGCCTAGTGGCAAGGAGCTGCAACTACAATCCCAGAGGCACACAGTTCGAATCCACCAGATGCTCTGCCGGGAAAAGGAGGGACAATCTCCACCTGTACCAGTCAGATCTGATTTGACGGTACATTCACACAAAAATTAAAACAAAAAAAAAAAAAAGAGAAGCCTCTTCTGTTGGGTCATGGTTTTTTCATGGTGCTCTCGATGTATGACTCCAGAAGGAAGATGGTTTCATCTACCTGGATCTCACTGGCATCCAACCTGAATAAAAAAGTAGAAGCATTTGACAGAGACAAAACATTTATTAACATATATAAAATTAGAGGTTGGGGGAGTGCAGCCTAGGAGAATTCCTTGGTTCCCCTTGAGAGGTAAAAATTAGGTAACTGAATAGATCATTCTTTCATTTACTGAGCATCTCTTATACACCAGACCTCACAGAAATGGCTGAGGATGAATAAAATTTTATTTGTGTGTATCTATTTCCTCTGTCCCAAAGAAGTTGTAGCCTGTAAAGAACAGCACATATAAAGGCATAGGTATAAAATGACCTAGAGTATTTTAAATTCCAAAGGTATCAGGAGGGGTTGAGGCTCCAAATGCATGGTGACTAACAGTTGAAGGGACTCCCTCAACCAGACAGAGGTCATTATGAAAAACCCATGGCTAACATTTAATGATGAAAGAGTAGTAGCATTTCGCCTAAGATCAGGGACAAGGCAAGCTCTGTTCTCACATCATTTCAACATTACACTGATGTTTCTAGCCTGGGCTATTAAGCAAGAAAAACTAAGTAAAGGGAATCAGATTGGAAAGGAAGAACAAAAACTATATGAAGATGATATGCTCTTGTATGTAAAAAATCCTACACCTCCCCCCTCTCTCTTAAAGCTAATAAATAAATAAATGATTTCACCAAGGTAGCAGGATACAAGGTCAAGGTAAATATATATATATAAAATCAATTGTATTTCTATATATAAATAGGAATAATCTAAAAATGAAATTAAGAAAACATTAAAATAGCATCAATAAGTTACATAGGGAGAAATTTAATAAGAAAACTACCAAATATAACTGAAACAATACTTAAATAAATGAGAAAATATCTCATATGCATAGATTGAGAGATTTAATATTGTTAAGAAAACAATTCCAAAACGTGTTCTAAAGAGTTGATGCAGTCCCTACTAAAGTGCACAATAAAGACTGAATACAATGATAGACAGGCTTGTTGTTGTTGTTGTTGTTATGTAGTGTCGAGTTGGAACTGACCTATACCTGATCCTCTGGCAGGTTTTGAGAGGCAGTTAATCATCTAGGAGGAGAATGTCCATTCTTTCCTGCAGAGCAGCTGGCAGTAGATTTGAACCATGTGCCTTTGGGATTGCAGTGCAGATTTTTACCATTAAGCCACCAGCGTAAAACACACTGTATGTTATTCCAAGAACTCTGGTCTTCATGGAATAAATAAAAGTAATCAGTAGGCATTTAAAGAAGGAGCTCTGTTGGCCTAGTGGCAAGAAGAAGCTGTGCTGTAATTCCAAAGTCATGTGGTTATAATTCACCAGCTGATTTGCAGAAGAATGACTGGCAGTCTCCTCCCATGTAGCTTACTGCCTCTGAAAACCCACTAGGGATCAGCTAGAGTTGGTTCTAACTGAATACAACAACAAAAAGCATTTAAAGTAGGAGAGAAACACTATCAATTCTATGTAAAGTAACTAAAAGCATAGCCTAAGAGATGTTTGGATGGGGGAAGTAACTGTAAAAGTCTAGGAAAGAGGTGATGAAGGCCTGCATAGAGACTGAGATGAAGGGTCAGATGTGAGACATAATACTTAAGTAGAAGACACATTACTTAAGAAGACATTTGCTCCTGTTAAATTGGAGGGTTTGGATAATACTGAGCTAGATCTCTCAAGATATTTTGAAACACAGGCCTGACATTGACGACACTTACTTGTTAACATTACGTTTCAGGGTTTCTAGCTGTTGACGTTCAGGGGCTGTGATCATCTCCTCTATTTCTTGAAGCTGTTCCTCTTCAGCACCAGTGGCTTGCATAGATGCGAGGATAGCTTCTACTCTCTGAGACTTCTCCAGTAAACGTCTGTCATACAAATAGAATTCTGAGGCATGAGAATGTCCCTTGGAGAGTCTCTTATTCTTTAACCTTATGTTATCTTCCACCATGTCTGGTCAAAGTGGATCTTGCCACCTCTAAGGACTTTTTCTACACATTTGGAAAAAAATATGATTTCAATCCTGAAACTTGTTTCTCATTTGTACCAGTTTATATAGCTCTCAAATTTAATTGACAAAATTATTTCATTAGGGATATATGAAAAGTATAGCATGACTAACGTATGATTAATGTCAACTCAATCTAATGAGTCCTAAAACTAGACTGATTACTGTCTCTATTGGTTTTCATCGTTACAGACTTTGACCTTGAAAAAATGGAAATGATTTCCTGATAATGATACTCACTTGTTCTCTTTGGTTTCAAACTGCCTCCTTTCTATCAAGTTAGCTATGCTCTGAAGGAAGAGAAAGAAAAGAATTGCACTTACTTTAAATAGTTCAGGTATAAGAGGTAAAAGGGATGGGGATTTGTCTATGTGAAGGGTATAGGAAGAAAGTCTAGATGGAGTTACCTTGTAACATCTGTGCAGCAACATTCGGGCAGCTGACAAGATGTTCACAGTGTATAAATAGAAAGTCCTGGATGGGGCATGGTCTGGTGTTTTGGGAATTTCCTGTGTATCCCCAGAAAGAAAAAGAAGATAAATGATATTGTTTTTCAGACCTGGCAAAGCAAACATCTGTTGCATCTGGAGCTATTTTACTTGCACTTTCCTCTTTCCCATTTAACACCTGTACTTATGCTATCAACAACAACCACATGAGAGTTGATTTGGTTTTTCCATTTGACTGTAGCACCCTAACTGGCAAGGAAAGAAAAGGTACCTAATATATACTCAGCAAGTTTATATGCCAAATAGAGTATATTTGATCTTCACAACAAACATTATTATTACCACCAGCCATCAGTATTTTACGGATGAGAAGAGTGAAGGAAGTTTCAGGCACAGGTAACTGAGGAAGAGGCAGGTCTGTCATTCTGACTCTAACACCCATTCTGTTTTCTCATGGTGTCTTTTATTCTTAGTCAGTCCTCACATTCACACAGTTGAGAACTCAACAGATGATGTGGCTAAATTTAATTTATAATAGATTGAAAGCTCAGTGAAAGGACAGAAATGATAAAGGAAATAAAGACAAAATAATTTGAGGGTGATTTTGTGGCCATGCCATCTTCTTTCTAGGTCGGGTAAAACTTCATAACTACCCTGCAAGTGCTTATTATGTCTTTGGAAACCTTATTTCTGTTGAGAGCTGGGAGTTAAAAATGTGCCTCAAGAGCTTCCCTTACCCTAGGCCGGCTTTGCAGATTATCACACCATGGTTACCTGCAGTGATATGAAATTTTCTGAGAGCATCTTATATAGCATATCCTTTGCCTCCTTTGCTGGAATCATTGCAAAGTCTTCTACCTGCTTCTGTTCCAGGTGTTTCTTTAGCAAAACTAATCGGAAAATTCTAGCACAGCGAGACCCAAATCTGAAAAGGGATAAAGAAAACAGATGTCATGGCAACACAGAGGAGTTTTGCATACATCACAGACAGCGCTTGCTCCTATTTCTGTGTGGAGTGGGACTAGAGAGGGAACAGCAGTCAGAATTCTCTCACAGCTCCACAAGGTAGGTGATGGTGCTGCCAGTTATTTACGTCATCAATGTTTGCTTCATTTTAATTCCTCAGTTTCTGCATTTATAAGAAAAGGCTTTCGGGAGGCTGGCTAATGGGCCATTAAGGAAGAAGTTGGGTATTTAGGGTGAAGAGTGGGGATAGTTGGGACCCATAAAGTAGTTCAGTGGAAAAAATGGGGCCAAGTGTGTTAAGGTTTGCCTGCACAATGATCAATTACTTGTTTAATTGGGGCCTGGAAAGGAAGTGTCTAACCCCAATCCCAAGCAAGGGAACCCTCTTACCTTTCCTGTACAACGGATTCCAGGGTGGCTGTGGCCAGGGATGCTAGAGCCTTATGGAGGTCTTCATGTGAGGATTAAGGCCATACAGTAATGCTTTTTTTTAAAAATTTTTAATAATTTTAATGAACATTTACAGAGAATTTGGATTTCCATTCATTCATTGCTGCACTTCTCTACCCGCCCAGCCCTCTCCGCCCCCTACCCCCCAGTTCGCTCCTCTCTTTCAAAAGTAAAAGAAAGACTCCCTCCCTGGTACACAATCCCCCCGCACCCCTCCCATTGCCCCAAGTACATTCCACTATGCAACCTTAATTGTGGACTCTTGTGTACAGTAACGCTTTAGCCTAGTCATTGTGATATTAGTTTTATTTCTAAGTCTTTATAATTAAATGTTAAATACTACTTTTTAAAAAAATAATAAATACTTCTATTTATTATGGTATCTAAATATTTTAAAGTCTTAATTAACTAGGATGTTTAAGTAAGGATTTGTGGTAACTAAAATTTTAATTAGAAATCTTATTATTTATCATCAATTACTTCAATATGCTAAACATAACCAAGTCTTTCTTTTAGAAGTTATGATTCTGGTTCAGAATCATATGTTCAGTTACCAGACTGGTAAAGGATACTGATGACGTACATTCCTCCACCACTGTCGCCAGACTTTCCAACAAACTCTAGCTATTAAAAAAAAAAAGGAAAGAGAGAGAAAATGTGTGTGCAAACTAAATGGAAATTTCAGAGATTCTGTTTTAAAAGAAGCAAATCTAGTCAAGAGTCATTTGCAGGCAGCCCCATTATCAGACAATGGAAAAATGGTCTGTGCTGACTAGGCAGGAAATGAGGCTATCTCAACATGATTACCAGACATCATTGGTAGAAAGAAATCATAAACAGAAAAAAGAGAACACCAGCAATAACAGCAAAGTTCAACAAGCCAGCAAACAAATGCTGGTGAGCTTGTGGAGAGAGTGGAACCCTCATTCACTGTTGGTGGGAGTGTAAAACGGTGCAACACTATACAGGTGATCTGGTGCTTTCTCAAAAAGTTAGAAAGAAAAATAACAATTGACCCAGCAATTCTACTACTGGGAATATACATTAAAGAAACCAGAGCCATGACTCAAACAGCTGTAGGCACACCCATGTTTATTGCTGCATTACTCACAATAGCAAAGAGATGGAAGCAACTCAAGTGGCCATCAACACATGAATGGATAGAAAAACTATGGTACATTCACACAGTGGAATATTATGCAGCTCTGAAAAACAATGTACTTGCAAAATACTACACAACATAGGTGGATCCTGAAAAACATGATGCTGAGTGAAATAGCTCAGTCACAAAATAGGAAAAGAAATGATAGAAAATGAACACAGCATTGGAGCAGATAAGGGAAAGGTCTGTTTAAAAGGAATGCATGATTAGGCATTATATGTATGACAACAATCTGGGATAAGAGCTGCAGTGGAAAGTGGATTGGAGGGGGAAAGGAAGAGGAGGGAGGAAAACGTACAATAATGAATGAACAAGAATCCAACTTTTCTGTAAAATTTTGTTAAGTCTCATCTCCCCTCCCCTTCTTTCATCATTCATATATATATAAAAAACAACAAAAGGCCTGAAGCTTTTCTATAACTATCATAGTTTCTCCAAGTTCATAGAGTTTCGACAGGCATGTGGTTTAGGAAGTGGATGCCACTCCTGCTTCCAAACTTGAATCAGTCTGGGAGCTCCACCAAATACTGCCCACGACAGATAGCCATTACGGTGTTTGGCACACCTATGGCACTGTTGTTCCATAAAGGAATTTGAGACCAATAAATAAAATAAAGTAATAATAATAAAGAAAAAAAAATAGAAACAAACATAAACAGACTTACTGGATCATCTGCCAGCAGAGTAAGGTATTGATCAAGAACTTGTTTAGAAATGTTGTAGCCAACGGGTAGGGATCTGAAGATCTACAGAGGAAAAAAGAGACACTGTATATGGGTTTAGGGTCTTAGACTTGCAGGCGCTACTGAAATGAACAGGTTTTAATGTTAAATAACACTAACTGAAAAAGGCCCCAAAATATTCACAACAGCACTGATTGTATGAATAAAAAAACCTACAATTTATATGTTGTCCAGTAATAAGAAAATAAGTACTCCATCAAATGAAATTCAGTGTAGTAAGTTTAAAGAATAAAAGATTTATAAATTCTCATGTGAAAAGATATTTTACATATAATATTGAAACAAGCTGTAGGACAGAATTTAGATTATGAACAAAGCAAACTATAGAAGAGTACAACCCTTTTATTTTAAAAAACACACACATACATATATAATTTTAATTCATATAAGCTGCATCCAGTAAGAAGTACATCTCTTAAGGCTGCAGGCTGATGAGTACTGATGACTGTATATAACTGTGTGATTACCACTCAAAATAAAAGAGCACTATGACCATTCCAAAAGTTTGGAGAATGAAATTTTTTTTAAAAAAAACCCAGGCATTTCTCCGCTATTTGAATATTAGTTATGTAATTACTTTTATTAGTGGGGGAAAATATTTAAAATTTTGTTATAAGTTGAGAAATTTAAAAACAAGTGAAAAGAAAAAGATAGTAAATATATTTACTTTAAATAAATAATTATGAAAGTAACAGATGTACAAACATTGAAATATTAAGTACTATTCTTATTTTAAGCAGATATGTTAAAAACATATTAAGTATATGCAACTATAACATATTTTAAAAAATGAATACAAAGGATCATATGATATCCTGAGTTCTATGGGGTTTTAAGATTCCCAATCACTCAGATTGCAAATAGAAGGTTTTTAAAACAATTAGGAACCATTTAAAATGAAAGGATAAATGCTTGGACTAAGGAAGTTGTAGGTTTTAAAAAGCTGATTCTCAACAGACCATACCAGTTCAACAGTGCTTACTACGTGAAGAGAATGCTTATCCCAATTCAAACAACAAAAAATATTTTCTTCAGGCTAAATCTCATTCCTAGCTCTGAATATGGTATTTGAGGATCTTTCAGAAAGCTAGATAAGAACAAAAAACTCACCTCATTGGAAGACAATGGCTGGGTGAAGGGCGCACTAGAGGGAGTGGTGATCTCACTCATTCGGAGCATGGTCCGCACAATCTCACTGCTGGTCTAGGTTGTAAGAGAAACTGGAATTTGGAATTTATTCTGCTATCTCAGCTCTGGCTATTTGCCAAGGGCTACATCTGGTGAATAAGTGAATGTCGCTGATAACTAAATGACCCACCCACCAAGATGTTACCTGGTCCATCCTGTTGGCAACTGCACTCACAATTGTTTGGTCACGGAAGTGCTGGTGGAATCTATCAAGGTTAGCTTGCCAATAAATACCATCATCTGGAATAGGCTGAGAAGAAAAGAATTAGAGAGAAATATTTAGAAACAGTGAAGAGTTTTCTGGTGAGGAGTGTACATTTAACTGTTCATAATTTCTTTTCTTACTCAGTACCACCAAACTATTCAGTCATTCAACCACAAGAGTTAGACCCTTGACAAATTTACAATTCCTGTGTGGATCATAACAAACTATGGTTAATTAGACAAAATCTATACCTAGCCCAAGAAGCTGTTCTCGGACTGCTGTGAACAGAGCAAAGAAACACTGCATGGTTTAAAACCAAGAAAGTGTGTGTGTCAGGGCTGTATCCTTTCTCTATACTTATTCAATTGCATGCTGAGCAAAAACATTAGAGAAGCTGGAGAAAAGTATGGCATCAAGAATGGAAGACTCATCAACAACCTGTGTTATACAGAAGACACAATCTTGCTTGCTCAAAGTGAGGAAGACTTGAAATGCTTGCTGTAGAATATCAAAGACTACAGCCTTCAATATGGATTTCAACAACAAGAAAACAAAAGTCCTTACAAGTGGGCAAGTAGGCAACATCAATGATAGATGGAGAAAAGATTGTCAATCTACAATCCACACCCTTGGCACCAGCGGTCAAGGACTTATTGCATTAGGAAAGTCTACTGTCAGTGACCTCTCTGAAGTCCTGAAGAGCAATGATGTCAGTTTAAAGTGCACCTGATTCAAATAATAGTCTTTTCAATCACCTAAAAGATGTATTGCAATGGGAAAGTTTGCTGTTAGGGACATCTCCAATTGCTGAAAAGCAATGGTGTCACTCTGGAGGCTAAGGTGCATCCCATACAGGCCATGGCCTTTGCAATCACTTGTTATGCGTTAGAGAGTTGGACAATGACTAGGGAGGATAGAAGGAGAATTGATGCCTTTGAGCTGGGGTTGCTGGAGAAGAGTATTGAATGTAGCAAGGACTGCTAAGAAAACAAACAGGTTCATGCTGGAAAGGGTTAACTCGGGCTGCTCCTCGGAGGCAAGGATTCTGAGGCTTCGTCTGACACACTTTGGACATGTTCCAAGGAGGGACCAGTCTTTGGAGAGGGACATCATGCTTGGGAGCGTGGAGGGACAGCACAGGAGGGGAAGACCCTCTATGAAGTGGACTGAGTAAGTGAGTAGGGTAATTAGGGTGGGGGTGTTGGAGACAGTAAGATTGGCAAAGGACAGAGCAGGATTTAGGGCTGTTACACATAGGGTCATTATGAGTCATAAGCAACTCAACGGTATAACAACAAAAACAAACAGTTGTTTGACTTATGCAAAACAGACTTCTTAACTGCTGCTATCCTGGGTGCTGACTGTGGATCCAAATACAATGAAATCACAATCGAGATCCACACAATCACAATCAGCAGTCAAGAAAACAAAAAATGCGCTGCATTGGGAAAACCTACTGTCAAGGGCCTCTTTATAGTGTGATGGAGCAAACATATCAATGTAAATACTAAGGTGCACCTTACCCAAATTATGTTTTTGATTGCTTTGCATACATTTGAAAGTTGGACAATAAAGAGGATCACAGAAGAATCAATGCCTTTTGTAGTGATGGTGAAGAATACTGATTATCCCATGGACTGCCAAGAGAACAAACCAGTCTATCTTGGAGGAAGTGCAACCAGGGTACTCCTTAGAGGCAAGGATGGAGAAACTTCATCTTACATACTGGATGTTATCAGAAGAGGTTAACCAAACTCGACTCACTGTCAATGAGTTGGAACTGACTCATAGCTGACCTTCTAGTGGGTTTTCAGAGAGTATAAATTGGACAGGAGGAGAGTGCCCATATTCTCCCCCCGAGACCACCTGGGGGATTTGAATCTGCTTTTGAATTGGCAGTGCAACTGCTTACCCACTAGGCTATCAGAGTTCTCTCTCAGGAATGGCCAGGCCTTGGAAAAAGACAACACGCTGAGAAAGGTAGAGAGGTCAGAAAGAGGAGAAGGTCCTCAATGGGATGGATTTATGCCGTGACTATAACATGGTGAAGAATGTGAGGATAGTGCAGGGTAGGGCAAGGTTCAGACCTGTTGTTTATAGGGTCACTATGAGTCACAGTCAATGCAATGGCACCTAACAATGTTTGGTTGTTAAAAGAATACTTCAGGGAATATTTTTGGTTTAAAGATTATCTCAAGGTATTAGTTTCTGGGGTTTATTCAGCCTCCATGGCTCCAAAAAGTCTGGATTTCAGGATTTTTTGATAAGTCTGCATTTATACCTCTGTTTGTCACAGGAGAAAAATGTTTCTCCTTTTATCTAAGGTTAATTCCTAAGTAGTCTAGATCTCACCCTTTCTTCCCTTCATAGGGACGCAGATAAATTTTTCTCTCTCCATTTCACATCAGCTTTTCCCTTGTTAAAATCTCTTCTACTCTAAAATCCTTCATCAACTTTATTTCCCTTTTTCTTTCAGCCATAGTCAAGTCTAAAAGACTAAAGTCATCTCAGTTGTATTCTTATCAACAGATTCACTCAACCCATTTCCATCACTGTACCGAAACGCCAAGATTCCTGAGGCCTTTGTTGCTAAATTAAAAAGATACTTTTCAGTTGTGATCTTATTTGACTTTATGAAGCATTTGACATGGCTGGTATTTTCTCTCTGATCTCCATGGAGCTCCTTCAATTATAGAGCATCATTCTAGTGCTTCCCTTTTCTGAATACTTTTCCTTTTCTTAATCCCAACCAGAATTACCACTGTTCCTCAAAATTCTGTTCATAGTCTTACTTTTTTATTTCAGCTGCTTTCAAGCCTTCAAATATTTATGAACTTCCTCATCCTAAACACCTACTAAACTCCAAATGTACTGATCCAAATGCCTACTGGATACTTCTATCTCTGAAAATGGTTTTGTTTTCAGTGGACATTAAACTACCATTTCTTTCTTTTTAATAATATTTTATTATGCTTTCAAAATTTGTTAGCATTTTTATTATTTCCATTCTGTTTGTTCTGTTTCCATTGACCTGGATTTCCTTTCCCTCTTTGTTTTTGTTTGTGGGTGAATACTGAATGTCTGGTCTCATATGTTGTTGCTGTTGTTAGGTGCTGTGAAGTACAACTCATAGTGACTCTATGAACAAGAGATCTGAACCCTGCCCTATCCCATGCCATCCTCATCATCTCAGACACACTTAAGCCCATTACTGCACTCACAGTGTCAATTATCTCATTGAGGGTCTTCCTTTCTTTTGCTAACCCTGTACCTTCCCAAGCATGGCATCCCTCTCCAAGGAACAGACTCTCTTAGCCACATGTCCCAAATATGTGAGGACTTTTTGCCATCCTTGCCTCCAAAGATCACTCTGGCTGCATGGTTTCCAAATCTGTGGGGTGTTTTTTGTTTGGGTTTTTTTTTTGTAGTCCATAGAAAATACAGAGCTCTTCTCCAGCACTACAACTCAAAAGCATCATCTCTGTCATCCTTATTTCACTGTCCAGCTCTCAGCAGCGTTGCAAGTGACTGAAAAGACCACAGCTTGAATCAAGCACACCTGACATTATTGCTTTTCAATATTCTGGAGTGGTCCTTGGCAAAAGATCTCCTTATATGAAGGTGTCGATTGCAGATTCGTGTAAGGTGAAATGGATTTTTCCATCTACCATGATGTTGCCTATTGGTCCAGTGGTGAGGATTTTTGTCTTGTTGATGTTGAGCTATAATCCACATGGAAGGTTACAGTCGATCCTCTGCATTAAGTGTTTCAAGTCTTCTGCTCTTTCAGCAAGCAAGGTTGTATCATCGGCATAGAGTAAACTATTGATGAGTCTTCCTTCAAAAATTGTGATGCCATATTCTTCTTTACAGTCTTCAATATTTAATGATTTGTTGTTGTTGTTATGTGCCGTCGAGTCGCTTGCGACTCATAGCGACCCTATGTACAACAGCCCTAAACTCTGCTGTCCTGTGCCAACTGCACTGTCTCTGACACTCCCATCCCGATTATCCCAGTCACTGAATCAATCCACCTCATCAGACAGAATAGATATGGAGGAAAGATACAACCCTGATGTACACCTTTCCTGACTTTAAACCATGCCATGTTCTCTTGCTCTGTTTGAATAGCAGCTTCTTGATTTAGTTACAGATTTGGAATGAGCACACTTAAGTGTTGTGGGGTTCGTATTCCTCTCAGTGTAAGCCATAATCTGTTATAATTCAGAGTCAAATGCCTTTGCATAGCCAACAAAGCACAAGAGACAATCTTCTGAAGCAGCTGTTAAGGTAAATATATTACTTTTGGATTATTGTTGTTGTTAGGTGCTGTTGAGTGGGGCTCATATTGTGACCCCCCCATGAACAACATGCCCTATCCTATGCCACCCTCATCATCTCTGAATACACATGAGCCCATGGCAGCAATCACTGTGCCAATCCATCTTGCTGAGAAGATGAATTAATCTCTTTTGCTGATTCTCCACTTTTCCAAGCATGATGTCTCTCTCTAAGGAATAGCAGTTCCTAGCAAAATGCTCAAAGTACGTGAGATGAAGCTTTGTCATCTGTGCCTCCAAGGAGCATTCTGGGTGTACATCCTCCATGACATAGCTGCTTGTTCTTTAGGCAGTCCATGGGATATTCAGTACTCTTCTCCAGCACCACAGCTCAAAGGCATCAATTTTTCTGTCATTGTTATTCATTGTCCAGCTCTGAAGTGCATAACAAGTGATGAAAAAAAAAACCATGGCCCAAATCAGGCACATTTTAGTCTTTAATCTGACATCAATGTTCCTCAGGATTTTGGGGAGGTCCATGACAGCAGACTTGCCCTATTATTTCTTTTTGAAACCATCTATTATTTGACTGAAAGGTGACTTTCAGAAACAGCTTCTATTCCAAGTTCAAAAGTTATGCTAGGGTGATAGTCTCAGAGGCTCTTTTAGTCTCTAACAGACTAGTTGTTGTTATATACCATTAAGTCAGAACTGGCTCCTCGCTGACTCTCCACAGAGTTTTCAGAGGCTGTAAATTACGTGGGAGGAGACTGTCCATCTTTTTCATGCAGAGCCTCTGGTAGGCTTGAGCTGCGTGCCTTTGGGTTGTCAGTGAAACTCCTTACCTTTAAGTCACTAAGTTCATCTATTAGACTAGTAGGTCTGGCATTTTTAAGACATTTGAATTTTGTTGTATATTTTTCCATTCTGTCTGGGACTTTCTATTGTGACCCTGTTGAGAACAGTTTATAGTAGTAGATGGACACCATGTAGATCGTTTGGTCTTAGGTTAGAAGAAGTGGTGAATGATGTGGGCCATTTGTCTTGTAGATTAGTTTCTTCTGAGCTTTTGATTTCCTTCCTTCTCTTTGTTCCATATGAGTAGAAACTATCAACTGTATCTTACACGGCTGCTTGAAAGCTCTAAAGACCCCAGATACTATTCACCAAACTAGAGTGTAAAACATTATCTGTGCACTAGGTTATCCCTTGGTGAACTCCAATTTTTTTTTTCAACTGAAATTCTTAATCTAGAAATTTGGGCATCAACTTAACCCCTTTTTCTTCCACATCTACACCTAGTTACCAAATCCTATATATTCTCTATATTTGTCAGATGGTTACTTTTTATTTTTTTAATCTTGAGTCATTATTTTACATTGTGTTGTTAAGTGCCGTCAAGTTATAGATGACTCATAGTGACCCTATGAACGAAAGACCTGAACACTTGCATAACTTTCGTTGTTTCTCCAAGTTCATAGAGGTTCCAGAGACAAGCTATTTTGGAAGTGGATGCCACTCCTGCTTTCAAGCCTGTTTTAATCTGGGAGCCCCACCAAACACTGTCCACCATGGGTAACCATTATCACATTTGTCACACCAGCGTCACAGAGTTTAGAATCACAGCAACCATGAGTTACCTCTGTACAGCAAATTGATAGACCAGTGCTATGCCACTTAGAAGGTTTTTGACCAAAAACAATTAAAACCAGGCTGGTGGGTCGCAGATTAAAATCACCCACATTTGGCTTGGTAGCATTTTACATTAGGTTCTAATTACGGCTTTTCTGGATTAATACAATGGTTTCTTAACCAGTTTTTATTTTTAAGAATTGAGCTTTCTGCTTTTAATCTTGTTTATTTCTATCCTTTTCTCTATTTCTTAAAGTAGCACATTTTTTAACCTTTTGGGTCATAGTTCTCTTTGAGAATCCAAAGAAATCTAGAAAGTTCTCTATGAAAAATGCAAATGTACAAGTAGAGGCTCCAAAATTCATCAGTGTAGTCCCATAAATTATGAATTGCTACACTATGTTAATCTTTCTAAAATGTAGATCTAGTCATTTCACTTCCCTAATTAAAATGCATCAAGGGCACCCCGTGTTCAGTATAAATGCCAAATCACTTAGCCAGTTAGTCAGTCAGGAAATATTTGTTGAACTCTTACTAATATTCAAGTGCCAAGGATAATATACTACTGCATGGAGCTTATATTCTACTAGGGGTACAGAGAAAAATAGGGGGGAAAATTCTAGCTACTTATTACAAATGCTGTGAAGAAGATAAAATAGTAACTCTTGGAGAAGGGAAGGGCAACGGTGCTTGAATTCTAGGAAAGAATATTAAGAGAGAAGATCTAATGATGAAATAAGTTTGTTGTTAGGGTTAGGTGCCACTGCACTGAATATAACTCATGGCGACCCTATGAAGAGCAGATCTGAATCCTGTCCTATGCTGTCATTCTTTTCCTCTCTGACACACTGAGACCATTGCTGCAGTCACTGTGTCAATCCATCTCAGAGCTGATGAAATAAGACAACTACATTATGACATAGAGACAAAGCATTTGAAGTAAAAAGAATAGTAAAGGAGCTCTGGGTGGCCTAGTGGCAAGAAGCTGCACTGCAATCCCAAAAACACAAGGTTAGTTTCCACAGATACTCTGCTAGAGGAGGGACAATCTCCTCCAGTGCCAGTTGGATCCAATTCGACAGTACACAACAACTATAAAACAAACAAACAAAACCAAAAAACCCCAAACAAAAAAGTAAAAAGAATAGTAAGGGTAAAAGCCTTAAGACTTAAGAGAGTCTGACATAGTTGAAGGACAGTGGGATAAAGTAGCTGGGACAACAGTGAACAAGAGGGAAAGTGGAAAGAGTAGATTTTGATGAACCTCATTTTCCACAGATCGCATAAGGATTAATCCACAGTAAACAACTTGGACTTCTTCAGAGATTAATGAGAAACTAATGAGAGATTAAAGAGCCTCTCAAAATGAAGAGAACAAGATTCCTCATTTCGAGGCCAATGGAAATCATCATGATAAATGGACAAAGGACTGATGTTGTTAATGGTTTCATATTACTTGGATCCACAATAAACACTCTTTGCACCAGCTGTCAGGAAATCAAAAGATCAGTTCTATTAGAAAAAATCTGCTGTACGGTCCTCTCCACAGTGTTAAAGCTTAATGACGTCAGTCTGAAAACTAAAGTGTGCCCAGTACAAGTCATGGTTTTCTCAACTGCTTGCCATGCATCTGAAACCTGGACAATGACTAAGGATGACAGAAGAAGAACTGATGCCTTTGAGTGGTGCTGGAGAAAAATACTGAGTATCTCATGGACTGCTAAAAGAACAAACAGATCTGTCCTGGACAAAGTGAAATCAGGGTGCTCCTTGGAGGCAGGGATGGAGAAACTCTGCTTTACATACTTTAGGCATGTCATGAAGAGGCCGGTACTTGGGAGGAAAATATCATACTTGTGAAGGTGGAGAGTCAGCACAAGAAAGACCCCAATAAGATGGACTGTTGCAATGGGGTCAAGTGTGTCGGAGATGGTGAAGTTGGCTCAGGATAGGAAAAGGTTCAGAGACACTGTTCATATGGCCACTATGAGTCGTAGTCAACTCAATGGCACATAACAACAATTAGAAAGGCCTAAGTTACGATGTATTTGGATTTAAAAAAAACCAAACAAACAAGGAAAACCAACTTAGAAAGTAGGTAAGAATCTACGTAGAGAGATCATTGAGGGGAGTGTTGAACTCTTGATAAGAGATGATAGTGGCCTGGACTAGGTCAATACCAGTGAGAAAAATGAGGAGAACGTAAGTGATTTTAAAAAAGTTTGAAAAGTTTTTTTATTAGGATTTTGGCCTACGCCACTGATGGTATCCTTTACCAACATAGGACAACCTTAAGAGGGAAACTTAAATACTTAGAAAAAAAGAAATTATTCTGTTTTGGCAGGTTAAAAATGAGATGTAACTTGTATCTTTTTGGGCTGCTGACAAGGCATCTGGATATAAATCTCAGGCCTGTGTATGTATTTCTAGAATCATTTCTCACCACTGGCTTCCAAGAATCTCTATGTTTCAGCTATATTGTACAGTTTACTTTTTTCCTAGATTTTTTTGCATAGATTTTCATGTCTACTAAATAAATGACATGTAACTCATGCCTTAGAATGGATAAACAGGAATGTTCACTCTTCGTTGGTCTATTCCTGGCCAATATTTAATGAAGTGCATAATCCAATGACTTTTCAGCTTGGGGACCTTTATTAAACTCTCTTTAGGACTTGTTATCTTGGTGCTCTTTCTGGCCTGCTCAAGGGTGCGGACTCCTAATCAAGCAGCCCCAATTACCTCTTTGTTATCTGCGGTATGTTTTAGTCTCTTGGCCTTGGGCTCTCCAGCAGCATCTTCCTCAGAAGATCTTCTCCTTTTACCTTTCCCTTCCAAATTGAACAGTTAGGTTACATCTCACATAAAGACAAGAAATGACCAAACATAAGACCTGGTGTTTCTTCATCTCAGAAAGATACATAGCTATCTCTAGGTTAGAGTTTAGGAGGCTAGGGAACAATAAGAAACTCATGTAAATAATGAAAATATCTGAAACTCAGTATGTCCGAAAAGAAACTCCTCAACTTTCCCCTCAAATTAGTTTTTCTCCAATGCTTCCTTTCAGTAAATGGCACACGTCCCTCTACATGCCCAAGTCATATACCTAGATATTATTCTTAATAACCCTGCCTCCATTCCCCTTCTATATTTCATTTTCATTCATTTGCCTACATGAACAAGTGTCTCATCCTTCCAACTCCTAAGCGTACAAAAATCGTGTTTAAAAATGTGTATTTGATCATGTCACTTCTCTGCTTAAAAATACTTTTGTGGTTTTCCCTTGCTCTTAGGATAAAGAACCGATGTTCTGTAAAGTGCTGCTTGACCTAGTGCGACTATTTCTGGGGCCTGACCTCATGGCTCTCCTTCCTTTGTACGTCAGTCTTTAGCCACCTGGACCGCCTTTCAGTTCCTCAAACACTTCATTTCCCCTCACCCTAAAACATTTACCTCCTCCATCCCTCCCTCATTGGTTGGCTCTTAGCTCTGCTTCAAATCTAGCTCAAAGACCATTTTCCTAATATACTCTAAACTTCTAGATAAATTTAGGTCTTTTTATATATTATAAAAGTACTTAACATTCTAAACATTTCCTTTATAGTAATTACTTGTCTGTTATTCTATAGCTATGAGATTATTTGATTAATGTTTATCTTCTACACTAACCTTAAGCTCCATGAGAGCAGGAATAAATGCTACTTTTCCCATTGTCAAAAACCACATTATCTGGCACATATCAATCTCTTGGTAAATACTCGACTGATTCCTTCCCTTAAAAATGAACATGAGTCTACACTTAAGACAAACTAAAAATTTTAAAGTTAAAAATGTCTTACCTATCAAACTCAGTTTAGGAACGACATACATATCCTTTTCATTAATAACAAGGGTGGGAGCAGGTGGTGGTGGCCCAGGGTCTGAACTCGCTGTGGTAGGTACCAGGGGACAGCGTTGGACAAAGTGTGTGTCTGCCAGTCGCACAAAAGTGTTTGATACCTCAGTGTAATCCATGGTCTTGCCATCTGTACAACAGGAGGTAAGAGGCAGTTGAGATGGTTTAGATAGCTGGAGGTCTATTCCTATAGCTAGAAAATCTGATCTTTAGCTAGCATATGTGGCTATAGTACTAACCCTCCATAGTCTCTGTGAGACGGTCTGCTACTTTCTTCACAACAGCTGACATCGTCATTTTGCCATTCAACAGCAGCTCCTCAACAATTAGCTCACCAGTGTCACTGTACAGTGTTTTGGAAGTATAGATGTACCGGGGATACCTAAGCATTCGTAAAACCCGGCTGCACTGGGCTTCATATTCCACCACACCACGTTTGTGCACTTGGTATGTCACCAGGTTATGTTGGATGAGGACACAAAGAGCTTTTTTAACCTAGGCAGAATCCAAAAGAAAGAAAAACTTGAATATACAGCTCAGTATTACAAGCACTTTTTGCCTAATGGTTTTATAAGCATCAAGAGCCAGGAATCTCTGTGCTTCTTTCTTCTCTCTCCTGGAGCAGTTATTACATATAAATAAATGAAATCTGGATGTTTTCCTATGATGATCCTGACTCTTCTGATTCTTATCTTTCTTTGAAAGCACACATTGATTTCGTTCTATCATTCTCATTTTTTAAAGGTTGTATCAAGAGTAACAGAATAATAGTAAACAAATGAGTAATGAAATAGGAAGAATGTTTATATAAGAAGTCACAATGATCAAGGAACATTTTGAGAAGCTGAATCTTGGGGCTTACGCCTTGTCCTCTCTCCTCCCCTACTCCCAATAACATGGTTCTACCATAGGCTTTCTTTTTTTTTCTATTTTCTTGGATGCAGAAAACTAGTCAAAGATAGGTGACAGAGTATAAATGAGTGCTTTTTAAATATACCTGATCCAATGATGTTCCTGTGTCATGGGCAATTACTCTTAGTGGCTGGCCACCAGTTCTGATTAGGTGGACTCCAATTTTTTCTACGATTTCTCCAAAATGCTCTTGCAGCAACAAAGAACATAATTTAATTTCTGCTTGAGTCATTGCACTGTGAGCGTGGGGCCTGAAAGGAAAAAAAAGTTGCATAATAGAATTTTTTTCTTTCTTTCATGTTGAGTATAAATTCATGTAAGCTTTCTGGAAAGATATTTTGTAATACATATCAAAAGCCTTAAAATGTTGCATACCTTTGACTCAACAACAACAGCAACAAAGTCTGAAGGAAATTGGAAAAAGATGTCATTGTAGTTCTGCTTAAGCAATTAAAATAATAGAAATAACCTACTATGCTAGTAATAAGAGAGATTTCAATAAATTATAGTATGCTCATACAATAGGATTCCATACCCACATTTAAAAGAATATATTGTAATATGCATGAACAAAAAAGTTGCTCATGCTATATTAAATGAAAAAAACAAGTTAGAAAGCAATACGTAGGGCAATTCAATCACTGTAAAAAGAACAACATATATGCATAAAAAAAGATTGGGAGATGTATATCATCAAATTATCTTTGTAAGTTTATATGGATTGTACTTTCTGTTTTGTTTTTAAGTTTGGGTGTAGATGGTTTAGTGATATGTCACAGACTTTAGATCTTATTGCCTGGCAAAATTTCAGTGTTCACAGCCTACTATGAGTGAGCAGTGTCCTAAATCAGTTAAAAAAGTTTATAAAACCAATTAGAAGGCAGAGCAGAATTTTTCAACAGGACGGGGTAATGTAAACAGATAAAGTATGTTGCTTATACAGCTCAGTATTTTAATTCCGAAATGTCTACTTCTTGACAAACATAGATACTAACAGAAACACAGTTGATTATATGACTGTTTCCCTGGATTAGATTTCTGCCCCATATGTGCCTGGGTCCATGCAGATGTCAATGGCTGAGTTTTTGCAAATGGGGTTTCTAAGGAAGCGCCTCTGAGTGGACTCAACCTCCAATCCTAATGCTTAACAGTTTGCGTCACTCGATGACACCTTACAGGACGGACTACATGCTACCAAACAGTGGTATTTTATCCCTCTGAAATGCAAAGTCTGTCTCCCAGTTTCAGTGCCCCTTAGAGAGAGACATATTTCACAAATGCATGTGTCCTTGGAAAAGCATCCCCACACCCTTGCGATCCTCGAAGAGGATTTTCAAGGCACTTGCTTAGTTCCTGTCTCTCCACTCCCTTCAGATAGGTAGGTTCGCCTTTCGAATTTGGTCTTTTGGTCTAGAGTTCTTTCACTCTCATCGATCATTTTCTACTAACCTTAGGGCCAATGCACTCCCGGGGGGGTTCCAAACCTAGCACCTCGAGTTCTCTGGAAGCGTCCACCGGCCGCCCACGTGGAGGGGGAGCCCACGGCCCTTTCTTGTTTAAAAGCTTAATATCCGAGAGAACCAGGAAACGGTAAAAACGTGAACCGCTCTACCCCTGAGTTTCGGTGGTTTCCGGGACGCTCTTTCTTTCTTCTCGTTGGAAAGTTGGAGGACCAGCGAGGGGTTGTTTGAGGAGCCGGCGGGCGGGCCCGCGGGCTGAGGATTTCGCTTCCTCCGCCTATTTGGTGCTGGGAGGCGGGCGTAGGGTCGTGGTCCGCGCCGCCGCCGTCTCGCTGGGCCCCGCCGGCTCACGTGACCGACGCAGGCTCTGGAGCCGTCGGGCGGCACTGAGGAGGCAGCAGCTGCGGAATCGGCGACCAGAGCTGGCGGAGTAGCTGGCGGACGAGCGACCGGCCGGCTGCCCTTTCCGACAGCTACGGCGGAGGAGAAAAATGGCGGAGGCCTCAGCGGCCGGGGCGGGCTCGGGAGCTGCTGTCGCCGCGCACCGGTTTTTCTGCCACTTTTGCAAGGGCGAGGTTAGCCCCAAACTACCGGTAAGAGCTGGAGATATCCTTCTGAGTTCAGATACCTGCTGGGATTCCTCCTCCGGATATTCCGGAACTAAGTCTTAGGCTTCCTGCACAGCCCTGATTCGGTTCCCTCGACCTCCGTGCCAGAATGCCTGCTGCTCGCGGTCTTCGATCGCTGGCCCGTATTTCGCCCTGTGCTGCTCTTCCTGCTCCTTATTCCTCTTTACCTGACCCCCTCTGTCTTTTTGTTTTCCTTAGCAAGTTCTCTGACTTTACCACATTTATTCTTTACCCTAATTTTTTTGCACCCTTATTCATCTTGTCTCCTTCCTACGATGACCTCTCTTTATACCCCCCTCGCCCCGATTCTCTTTCCGTTCTTGGCTTCTCTTCTTCCTCTGTTTCCTTTTCCACTTTCAGCAGCTTCCTCCTCCGCCCTTCCTAGCCCCCTTCCCTCCCCCCCCTTTTCCTCCGTGAACTTGAATAGCGGATTCCTGAGGATCACCCCTATTCGATTGTCTCATAGGGAAAGAAATAAGAAAGCACGGAAAGCGAAGGGGTGGGGATGTGGGGCGGCGGCAGTGGGACTGGAAAGTATCCGTAGGGAAAAGAGGGCGATTTTGCTTTTCATTGGTTTCCAGGGGTTTTGTGAAAGCAAAACCAGCAGTGTCCTAATGACTTGCAGACTGCCTGTGCCTTCCTATCTCTCTGGGACAAAACTGCTGTAAGGAAGGAGGCAGGACATAATGTTCTAACTTGGTTTATTTTGCTAGTGATGTTGTCCGTGTCACCTTCCTTAAGAAGAAAAGATTTAGGACAGAATTTTGGGTACGGCATCCTTTGAAGTAAAATTGATTTCACCAGTTTCTGCCGGTCTCCTAGAGAGGCAATTCACTGGTTGTGAGGAAAATGTTTCTGTAGCATGCTAATAAGCCCGAACACCTCATAGCAGAAGCTCTTTGGGATTGGGTTATAGCTGCTCTAGGAGACCCACCAAGGCCAGTGTTAGTTGCTTTCCATTGAAGTGTCCAGGTTTAGTCTTAAGGATGGGTAGCTACAAAGCAACCCCCAAACTTTGAACCACCGCAATGTTGTGTACTGTCAAGTAAGACCGACTCATGGCTGACACCCCAGTGGGGTTTCAGAGGCAGCAGATCGTAAGGGAGGAGATTGCCCATCTTTTTCCCAGTGGAGCAGCTAGTGGATTCTATTTGCCTTTGGCACTATGCCTTATCTCTGAGTCACCAGAGGTCCTTAACCACTGCCATGTTGTGTGTACGGTAGAGTTGGAAGTGACCCATAACTGACCCTGCAGCGTGTTTTCAGAGGCTGTTAATCTTATGGAAAGAGATTGCCTATCCTTTTCCCTGAAGCAGCTCAAGAATTCCAACCACGTGCTATTAGGATTGCAGTGCAGTTTATTGCTACTAGGCCTGTATGAGGCTGTAAATCCTTTTGGGAGGAGACTGCCTGTCTTACTCCAGCAGAGCAGCTGGTGGCTGTGAACTGCTGACATTCTGCTTAGCATCATTCCGTGTAATGTGCTATACCACCAGATGTTCTTGCTTAATTTACTTCTATATTTGTATTATCTCACATACAGTTTAAGAAAAAGCTTAACCAAAATGTATCTGCATGTTTTTTTTTGTTGTGCAAACACAAATGGAGTCCGGTGAATAAGCATCCAGATTATATATTCTTTTTATTGAAGAGCATACTCTTTTGAGCTTTCCCCAGCATTTTCTTTTCAGCCTGCCTACTCCCAACGTCATCGTCATAATTTCATCTACATGCTATTTAGTTTTGGTTTCTGATTTGGCTGTGTGGGTGTGTTTTTGGTTTATTTTAGTGCTGGAAAAAGCCAGTGCGCCCCCCAGCAGACTCCTGAGCCTCCAGAACTCTCCTGGTACAGAGGGAGGCTGACTATAACCAGTGGGTGTGCTCGGTGACATGCCATTGAATGTGATGTGTTATGGAACATTACAACCTTCAGTTCTTCAGATTTTTTAAGTCATTCCTGGTCATTATTTTCAAGAATAAGAAAACAGTCTAATTCCCCAACTCATATAATTTCTTTTTTACCACCTGAAATCTTCACTTCAAAATGTTCTTGGATAAGTTGAAAGATTTTTTTTCAGTCTTTGAAAACTGAAGGAGAGGTTTTGGTCTTTTCAGAATTTTATCATCTTCATTGTCCTATTTATAAATTGAAGCCCCATGTGACTAAATATAACTGAATACTTTCTGTAAGGCTCTGTACTGAATGTCTTAGAGGTAGTATGGGAAGATACATAGTCTTTTTCCTTATAGATTCACAATCATCTTGGAAAGACAAGACAAACAGAAAAATAACCTAAGGCGAATGACTCATCTCATTGCTATCTATCTGGAACTGCCTGACCTTTAAGCAGGTTTTTGGAGGCTATTAATTGCCCTAGAAGAGATTGTTCATCTTTTTCTTAAGGAGAATCACAGTGGATAATATATGTGAAAGGAGCAGGTGGGGCAAAGACTATGTTTGGCCTTTTATATCTGGTTTCTGAAAATTGACTGAGCAATGTAATAGGTTATAGTAAGGGCTACACAGGCCTCTTATCTGGCACCCGATGTAACTTAAAGAAGGGAGAAGACATAATACAGTAATGCATATTCGTTAAGGTCCCAATGACTAAATGACTCTGGATCTTGGGACTCCTATTTTTGGTGGCCACATGTAAGAATGAGGTATGTCCCTGGAGACAGTGGAAGCCTGTAGTATAGTGGGTCTGTTCAAATGACTTTCCTAGGCCCTTGCCCTTGACTTTGCCACAGAGCTGGGCAGGATAGTGCAAGTAGTATGTTAGTGTATCCATGAGAGTATTGGTTAGTTTCGCTGTTCCACCAGGTTTAAATTGTGTAGGTTTGGTGGTAGAAATTTGGTTATCCCACTACCAGTAAGGAAGAAGCAGCAGAGAATGTTGCGTGTGTCCTTTGAAGCCAGAGATTCTTGCTCATACCAGGGCTTACAGACAGAAGCAGAAGCTGCAAGGGAAAACCGGAGACTTAACATGAGACAGAGCTGACCTGGGACTAATGCCCCACGGAGCCAGTTTGGTGAAGGACTGGGGCAGTGGTTGAAAGGATGGAGAACATGGTAATACCATAATGGCAGGACTAAGAGAGCTTTGTTACACTTGTCTAAAGCCTCAAGGCAGAGGGACCTGAGAGCATGCTTCAGAAGCTGTCCTGACTGAGAAATTGTATCCTGTTGCCAATCTGAGTTGTAATCTGTTAACTTCCCTGTTAAACCCTATAATTGAGAGTATGGTTCTGTGAGATCTGTGGTTTTCGGCCCAGTGCAGCAATGGGATTGGTGCCGCAATTAGTTGTAATAGGGGAGCATAAGGGACATGTCTAATCTGATGGGAATTGGTTTTGTGTTGTGGATGCTATTGATGGAGGCAGATCCTCTTATGGAGTTAGTCGAGGTCAATCTTGGCCATCCTCATTCTGCCCTTGCTCTTTTTTTACAAAGCCTTATGCTGGGACCTCTCTTAAACATTGCTTGATGTCTCTTTGCTTTTATCCTTTTCTTTTATTACAATAAATAGATAATTGTTTGTTATGGTTGTTGTGTGCCTTCGAGTCTGAACTGACCCATAGCTGACCCTCCACTGGTTTTTCACAGGCAGTAGATCACACAGGAGGAGATTGCCCATCTTTCTCCTGTGGAGCAGCTGGTGGATTCGAACTGTATGCCTTGGATGGTAGTGCAGCTTCTTCCAACCATAGATAATGTTATATGTTCTGACTTGTTTAACTCCAGAGCGAAACACTGCTAGTCATGTACATCCATGCAGTTGTTGCCACCTATATTTGAGCTCACTCTTGTATCCACTTTGTCAGTCCATTGAGTTGAAGTTCATCTTTATAATGGATCCTGTTATTTTACTAAGCATCATGTCCTTTTCTGGGGACCAGCCACCTGATAACATGTCTAACGTGTGTGACACAAACATCTCCCCATCCTTGCATCTAAGGAGCATTCTGGCTGTACTTCTAACACAGAATTTTTGTTCTTCTGGTTGTGTATTTCATTCTGGTTTTCTGTTTTGTCCATTATATGCCAACACCAACGATACAGGTAATACTTTTATCAGTATAGGTAATAGTATTTCTCCTATGGAACTCTGGTCTTGCAGTGCCAGAAGAACTTGGCTTCTAACTGAAAAGTTGATAATTCAGACCTACCAACTGTTCTGCCAGAGAAAAATGTGGCTATCTCCTTCTGCAAATCTTTGCAGCCTTAGAAACCTTCGGGGCTAGTTCCGCTCTGTCCTGTGGGACTGCCGTGACACCATAGCTGTGGGTTAATAGTTTCTATGAGTTTTGTGAACCATTCCAGAGACTTAAGCCAACAGGGGCAGGCAGTACTAAATTGATTTATGACTCAGATCTAGGTGACTGTATAATAGAGAAAGACAGTTGATTAAAAAATGATAGGGCCCTTCTAACTTGTGACCTAGACTCAGGGACTAAAGAAAGAGAAAGGTATATAGTTGATCTGACAGTGTGTGGGGTGTCGTACACACTGCTGAACCCATAGCTGCTTCCTGGTGACTTGCTTTCAGGAGCCAGCGTTGTTTTGACTCAGGATAGCAGGGGATATGGTCTGGTATAACTTTGGATAGTTAGGATCTGAGAATATTTGTTGAAGTATGAAAAGTAAGATATTCGGAAAGGTGAAGCCTGGATTCATTTCTAGGTAGGAATTGAATTCCTACTGATCTTTGCCATGAAGTTGGTGTTTAGTGGAGTTTGCTCACCTTGCCCTTTTTATAGGACAGTTTGTAGTTAAGACCTTACAACACACTCCTCAGGTGATTGCTATAGATCCCCAGGTGAGTCTTATCACTTAAGCACTGTACTAAAATTTAAGTTCTAGTTGAATATCTGGGATCAAAGGCTAGATTTTCAGCAAGGAAGTTGAACTGAATGGACTGATTTGAAGCTTTGTTGTAGCATCATCCTTGCAGAGAGATTTA